AGATTGTAAGTAACAATAATGTTTGATCATTTGGATAACTAATACTGGCCGACTTCGGTTGGTATTTTTATAATTATATTAGAAGTAATTTTTTATCATAAAAAAAATATTTGACGCATGACGAAAAAAAATAAATTAGAATTTTCGACTGACATCAGTCGGTATTTGTATAATTATATGAAAAATAATTTTTTATTATAAAAAAAAATAATTGATGCAGGGAGGAAAAAAATAAATTAAAATTTCCGACCGACATCCGTCGGTATTCTATAATTATTTAATGAATCATTTCTTTTGTAGATAGTATGCAAATCTGACCAGGCTTTGGTCAAAGATTGACCATTTTCCGATCGAAGTCGACCGAAAAATTTCAACTATGTCAGATAAAGCAAACTTTCTTTTTTGTGGGACCACATTAACCGACCAATTGCGGTCGGTATTTTTATTTACAATTTTTTATTTGATTTTTTTGACCAATTTACTTTGTTTCCGCCAATTTCGGTTAGGTATTTCTTTCCGAGGTATGCTCTGAACGCTTTTTGACAGTTTTTTTTAGTAGTGTCCCGTCATTTTCTCTCGAGTGGATACCACTTCCTGCATTAATTAATTGATCAAACACCCGTTAACAAATTGTTAACCCAGGGACATAAAATCAAATCGAACAACAAGGACGAAAATTCCGATCAGGAAAAGCACTCATAGTGGACCAATGCATCAGTCAAAATGATTATGATTTCCTTTTTTGCTCAATAGTCAAGATCTCATGCTTTTTCATGTTCATTAGATAAGAAAACCCACTTCATATTTTCAAAAATCGTTGACAAATTTCAAGTAACGAGTTACAGAAAAACTCATATTTTAGGTTACACAAATTGAACTACAGGACAAAGTACTGAAATTTTAAGTTACAAAAACTGATCTCCATATTAAATAATATTCTGGAGTTCGAAAAGCTGAAAGATGAGAAGCGGATCTCTGCCGATTCTTAAGTTGGGCGGTTTTGTTCAAATATTATTTTCGCATAGAAAAATGGCTAAATTTGAATTAATGTTGAGATTGGAACTTATTTTCATTTAGCAATGATAAAATAGGCTATTTATGAATTTCATCCTTTAAGTTTTATACGGTAATGATTAAACATATGTAATTGAGAAACCTGTGAAACCTGTCAAATTATACTGACATATAAATGCATTTCACACCGTCCATATAAAAGAAGCTCAATTGTTTTAAGCTAACAAAAGAAGAAGAAAAAAGTAATTACAAAGCTATAATTGGCGATAATTGTAATTTGATGCACGACAATGAATTGAACATAAATAAAATTTGAAAATATTTGGTTTGAGTTACTACAACCTGATTTTGTAAGATTTGTGGATTAGAAGTAGATATGAATATGTAAATCTGTTTTAGTAAAAGCTTTTTTTTTTAATTAGTTAGAACACGTCGTAGTTATTTTATTAATTGATCTTATTATGCTTCAGAGATGGAAGTTTAGATCGATATGTTTAAAATCATGTATGTTGTTTCGTACAAATTCGATACCATTAAGTTTACACACTTGAGGTTTAGTTTCAATTTCAGAAAATAAATAGTAATAGATGTAAATAAATCTTTCATAATATATCAAGATCTTTTTGATATAAGAATTGTCTGAAACTAAATGCATGCTAGTTATATATATTTTACAGCTTATAACAATCATTCAATCGATCAGTTGACTATGCTTTAGTCATAAGTTAGTTGGTGCAAACACGTGGTTGACAAGATAAACATAACATGACACTATAATTATTGAGTAGCAACAAATTCTTTTTCTCACTATTCACTTATTACAATAGGATAAAAACATGCCCTTGATATAAAAGAATAAGAATAAAAACAATGCTTAGACGTTGTTCGATTCCATTTATTTTGCGATATATGCCTTTTTCGTCTAATCCCAAAATAATTATTATATTTTTATATTAAAAATAATTTAATTTTAAATTATTTAGTTTACATTAATGACATGATTTTATAACACTTATATGTCATTTTGAAATCACTAATTATTTCAAAAAGAAAAAAACTCTATGAAATTTCGTGCACAATCAAGCATAGGACGAAGGGAGTACACAAATCTATAATGAACGGTGATAGGGTTCCCATTGCATGTAAAGGAATTCCCATGTACAGAGACGCTTAAGTAATATCCTAGCTACATGAATATGATATGTAGAGGTAAAGCCTGATTTTTAGATTTTAGAACGATGATTTCAAATTCTAATAATTATGTTCTAAATTTAATATTTATATATATTTAATAAAATTTAATATAAATATACTGTTTGAACAAAAATAACTGCGTAAATGATTTTTTCCGAATAACTTAGAAAAACAAGTTATATATTTTCCCTCTCTTAAAATGAAATATTGACGAACACACTAGACACTACGACCTAAGAAAATGAACCATCAATGGCAGGCACCCTTTTGTTTGCACTTAATGAAGGTCTGAATCTTAATCATTCAGATCTCACACATTAAGTGCGTTTGTTTTTAAAGTCTGAATCTTAATTATTCAGATCTTAATCATTAAATGTGTTTGTTTTTTTTTACTTCACAACCACTTAATGGGTCTGAATAGGTCTGTATGATTAAGATCAATAACAGAGACTTAATTTCATTAAGATGCTATCACATATTCATTATTAACTGCCGCCACCGCCTACCATTATAAACTACCACCTGCCACCACCACCACCACCACCACCACCTCTACCACCACCACGCCACCATCATCCTCAATCATAGCCGCCACCATTATCGACCATCACCACCCACTATCCCCACCACTTCGACCACTATCATTCTCACCCAAAATCAATACTCATCCACCTCAACTACCACAACTGACCACCCCATTACCATCAACAACCACAGCTGGCACTGCCCATCATTATAACCTACCACCACCCACCCACCACCTTCCTCAGTCACAACTACTACCATCACCCGCCATTATTAATAATCACCATCCTCCACCACCACCATCCTCAATCATAATCTCCACCACTACCAATCACTACTAGCTACTAGCATGAACCACCATTATTAATCAAAACTACCACCAACCATCGCCTCTAGTCGGCATTCACCCGTTATCCATCACCACCAACAACTATCATAATTTTAAAAACTATATATTTTATTGATAGAATATTAGATTAGTTAGTATTTCATTTGAATTTTATGTTTATTAATTTTCAAATATTGATAAATTTTATACATTCAGATGTTAAAAATCAAACGGTCTTAATTATTTAGTATTCAGATCTTAATACACATCTTAATATATTCAGATGTGTATTTAGATTCGGATATCTTAATCTTAATACACATCTTGATATTTAGATGTGTATTCAGATTCAGATGTCTTAATCTTAAAAAAAAACAAATAGGTAGTTTCCCAACGTGGATTATTCCTTCGACGACCTTCGCATTTGAGGATGGATAGTTACATGCATTTATTCCCGTCTTATCGTCGACATGATAATAGCATGATCTAACAATAAAAAATTTTAAATTTGTCAAATTTTATCACCAAGTCATGACCCTACTTGGGCCCTCACCAATGGATGGATAGGATATAATTCAAACTAGCAATTAGTTTTTCTTTGATTATAAGTTCGACAAAGTCATTTATTAGGGTCGGCCTAAGGGTAAGGCAATTGAAGCTATTGCCTTAGGCCCCCAAAATAATCTGTGTCACATACATTTTATATCATTATTATTAATAAAAAAGTTTCAAAAGTTTTAACTGAGGTTATACAGTTGAGTAATAAATAACGATAAATTTTTTTTCATTCAATAAAATATGAACGTTACCAAATCTAATTTGTTTCTCCTCTATGTACACTCATGTTTTTTAATGTTTCTAATAATTTCACTTTCTTGTTTTAACTCAGTTTCTCTAAATTGTCTATTTTCACCATAGTTTATTGATCCATCAATTAGAAAGCAATTATTTTTTTTCATCTTTTTAAGAGAAATCCCCGAATGTAATGGGGCACAAGGTTCAAAAGGCAACAGATTATCGTCGTGCCCCCTCTACCTTCTTCCACCTAATTAATACCATATTTTCATTTACGATAGAGTTTCAAACCGTGACGTGCACCTAATTCACACATCACGCGTTATACAGTTAACACTAGGCCAAAGTCCTATAAATTTACTTTGTATCTTTTTTATTGTATGGCTTTTACAAAAGAAATTTAATGACTTTTTAGTATATTTTGACTTTAGGCCACAAAATCCGTTGAGCCGCCCATTTATGTGCCAAAACTTTCATTGGTATTCCTTGCATGTACGCTTAGGAAATGATGCCGCAAATCTCAGCAAGATTATTGCGATCGTAAAAAACAATTGTAATACATAACTTACATCTTATGCAAATTACACATTACTAAAACAATGTTGAGTACATTAGGAAGCAACATTTAAAATTGTGCAAAATATAAGCCTAAAGCAAAAGATATCACAGGAATAAATCGTATTTCCTCCATCCCAATTGATGTGTCATATTTTTTTAATTCTATTTATAAAATAAATATACATTCTTATTTAAAAGTAACTCCATTTTAAAATCTTAATATCTTTACTGTGATGATTTATAATCACACAAATAATTAATAATTTAATTTAAATTATAAATTATTCTAAAAGATTCTTAAACTTTCAATCTATTACCACCACAAAAATTAGAACAGTGAGTTGTGCATTGTATACACCAATGTGAACAAAATTCCAATAGAATTTCCTTTGCTTAAAAGTTGTATACACCAATCAAAGTGGGACAATGACAGTTAGGTCGGTATTCCAACCCTCTGGACTCTGAACCGTCTGAGTTCTTTCACTCCACGTGGCACTTCCGCCGGGCCCGCAAAATCTGCATTCATCACATAAATCATACTACTATTCAAAATAAATATAAAAAAATTCTCGACCCTAAAAAGAGTAAACACTAAATAGTCAAAGATAGTCACTCTAAACCAACGCGCCTCCTGGAAACAGTAGAATAGAACAAAAGCGACGCGCCTCCAATTCTACTCCACTGCTTTCTTCCTCAGAATTTAAGCAGCTCACCTTTTTCTGTCCCACAAAGTAAAAGCAATTGGAAACTTCAAAAGCAATAATTTATCTTTGCGTACACTTCTTTCTCTCTGGCAAGTGAAAAGCAATTACTCTTTTATTGCTATAAGCGCTGAAATCTGAGATTATTCCTTCGCTTTCAGGTGATTCTCTTATCATTAGTTTTATGATTTCTGCAATTCGTTTTTCTTCTTTTCTTAATTCAATCGTATTCTTGTCTAAAGTTTCTCCTTCAACGTTTTTGTTAGTTTTGTCTATAGCTTGTATACTGAATTTTGGTTGTGTACGTTGCTGTTACTTAAGTTTATTACCTCTTAATTGATATTCCTGGCAGTTGCCTTTAATTTATACAATTTGACTTCCACCCAAATTGACTATTGTGAACAAAATAATGGGGGTTTCCGAGGAACAGTTCAATTGTTAAGAGATCACAATTCTTGTTGGATGCCGGCGGTCTAGGCCATATTGCGGGCACCTGGACTATTTCACTGGGTACCTGCTAACTCCCACCAGCACAGTACCAGTCTCCTACCACTTAATTGACCACTAGGCTACACTTTGCATAGGCGGATTCGAATTTTGAAGTTTATGGGTTCTTACATCGACTTCAAGTTAATACTACATAATAATTGGGCCCACAGTCAAATATTTATAGATATTTAGTGGATTCTTAGTATATATACAGGGTTTAGGCAAAAACTACTGGGTTCACGTGAACCCGTGATCAAGCCTCTAGATCCGCCCCTGCACCCTTCACCCTTGGGTGCGGTCAAGACGTCGCAATTGGAATCATGAGTTAGAATCTCATGCCCTTATGTTTTACTGTTTCCCAATTGGGCATTCACTACAAGATTGATGTGGGCATGCATGCGAGGCCTTCCTTTTTAAGTTCTGTGGCTCGTAAATGATACCTTATGCTAGTGTAGCTGTTGCGATTAGACTTAATGTAACTTTTATAATATTTCATTGAACAAGTTTAGGATACATTAGAGTTATAAACTTTAGTGTAGTGTACAATTTCTCATTTGGTTATTACCAGACAGTTTGGTGATTGAAGAGGGACATCTTTTTGCTGGTTTTGGAGGATGTATTTTCTTCGTGTCACATGACTAATGCTTAAACTTATGGGAAGTGTTTATCTCTAGTCCTATCATATTTGTGAAAAAATAAACACTTCGAATATAACACTTACTTTTGCAGTTCGTGGACTGCAAAAACAACTTTTATTTGGCTACTGGATGTTTTCCAGTGATTTTGCTGGCTTATTTGGAAGACGGAGATGAAGCTATCTGCTCTTTTGACTTCTGCTGGAATCAATATTGCAGTCTGTGTGGTGCTGTTCTTTTTGTATTCCTTATTGAGGAAACAACCAACTTTTGTAAATGTCTACTTCAGCCAGAGGTTTGCTCCTCATGTACGAACAAGACACCTTGGTACCTTTTGCTTTAACCGATTTGTTCCTTCTCCTAGTTGGATCTTGAAGGCGTGGGAAGCATCTGATGAAGAGATAGTTGCTGCCGGGGGCTTGGATGCGCTAGTGTTGGTGCGGATGATTGTTTTCAGGTGAAAGCTGAACTTTCCTCATTGTATTAATTACTTCCTCTTCTGTTTTTGCTGAAAAAAGTCAATTTAATGCCTGAAATTCAGAGGTGGCAACATTTTCTTCCCTCAAGTTCGTTCACGTTCCTACTGAAATTTATTGTTTTTTGCGGAATATTTCATCAAGCTGAGGAATCCACTGAAAAGATGTTTACTTATTTCTGAAAATATTATTGCTTGTTTGCATGGCCTGATCTTGAAATAGACACTGTTCTCACTATAAAGATGGACAATCTTAATTTCATTATACTAGCTTTCATAGATATGCGCAAATGTTGTGTATTTCCCAGTAAGGATGTATAGCATGTGTCAGATGGTAAATTTGTTAGTTGACAGTATACTGCATGCCTGTCTTTGTTCCTCCTTTTTCTGGTCAATGTACCATTAGTCTTATAAGTGTACTTACCTTTTCCTGCTCTTATTGTGGACAGTTTCCGAATATTCTCCATTGCAGCTATTCTGGGCCTTTTCCTGGTGCTGCCTCTTAACTATTTTGGTCAAGATATTCGACGTCAGCAAATTCCAGCTGAGTCATTGGAGGTATTCACTATTGTGAATGTTGAGGCAGGGTCAAGATGGTATGAAACATGTATAAGTATGCTGTTAATTTTTTTCATGTGGATAATAATCTATTCAGTATTCCCTTATAAATGGACATATACAGATGCATAATACAAGTGGTGGTTTTGTTTCATATGAAGAAATGACAATAGAAAGCTTTTGTCTTTGTCTAGTGTCCAAAATTCTGCAATGCCAAGCTTTACAAAAAAACAAAAAAAAAGAAGAAGAGCAAATGCCAAGTTTAGCCTTCTCTGCATTTTGCATCTGAAATTATTATTACCCAGTAGAGAGGAACTATTACAGAAGAGAGCTACTTGCACGTTTACCAATTTCGATGTTCGCAGAAAATGTGTTAATGACGATGACATATTATCTCCTGATTCATTGAGTTTCTTTTCTCTTCAGGTTCTGGGTGCACTGCCTTGCACTGTATATTATATCCTGCTCTGCATGTCTTCTTCTTTACTTTGTAAGAATTTATTGCTATTTCCAAATTATCTGCTTTTCTTTTGAACTTGTGTTTATTTTATACGAGATACTTCGTACCATGCTATGGCAGTTTTTTTCTTAAAAAAATTTTGCTGCTTGCTTTTAGGAGTACAAAAGTATCTCAAGGAAGCGGCTGGCGTACTTCACCTCATCAGTTCGCCATCCAAGTTACTTCACAGTTCTGGTCCGTGCTATCCCAAAGTCTCAGAAAGAATCATACAGTCATACAGTGGAAAAATTCTTCACAAATTACTACACATCAAGTTATTTATCTCATCAAATTGTTTATCGTTCTGGCCCTGTTCAGAAACTGCTGGTGAGAATAAGGCACTTTTTATTGTAGTCTAACTAAGAAAGCATTTCGGATGGTGACCTCAAGTCCTAATATCCAAGGTTACCTCTTGAATCTTGTGTTACTCTACCATCATGGTCAATCTTAAGGTTCTTTGGTTACTGCGAATTGGTCCCATTTGTTTTGAAAACAAGGGGAATGTTTTTGGCCAGTTCTTTTTTTTTTAATAAAGCTTTTAAGGTGTGTTTGTTTGGCATTTTTTGCTTAAAGAAAAAAAAAGTTAGTACCATTTTCCTCAACATTTCGAAACTGAATTTTTTTGCCAAGTTTTTAAAAAATTTGAAACAAAATGCCTAGATTTAAGCGAACCGGATTCGATGGACCTAAATGAAAAGTACTACTCGAGCAGCACGCCCACCTCACCTCCCTCTCTGTTCTTCTTCTTTGTGTTTTTATAAACCATTTTGATATATTCTATAAGAAGTTTAAAAAAAATCTGCATGAGCTGAAGATAATAGTTGGTTTCTTCTTGATCTACGCTTCTGCTTACGCTAGTGTTTTGACATTTATCTTCTTGGTTGGGCTTTTTCTTGCTCCTTTGCTTTTCTCTTTCTTTGGTGGTTAATGTGCCATAGATTATATGACAACAGACTGATGCAGAGGAGGTGTTCAAGATGCTTAAAACAGCCCCAGAAGAGCTTTGTCCTGGATCAAATTTTATGAAATGTGGCCTTTGTGGAGGAACAAATCACTCTTTCAAGATGCTTCCTGCTGAGCGTGTTAGTGATAAAGGAAGAGATGATTCTGATGGTTCAGATTTGAGAAAAAAGGTCACATCTGTCCACATTATATTCCATAATTCATATGTTAGGCTATCTTCAATGTACATATCCTTTATTGCATAGAAGATTATGTCTTCATGAAGTTTTTAGCGCATTTTGTTGCTCAGCTTCTCTTCAGTCTGTTGACAAAAGTTCACTGCTTTTATACTCTCTGCCTACCATATTGTACTCTGTGGTTTACTTTCACTATATTTATGGTTGGTGTCTCATATATATATATATATATATATATATATATATATATATCTAAAGAGAAAAACTGTGGCCACATATTTTATTTTGCTTAATTCAAATTTTGGGGCTGACTGTTGGTTCTTGGTAGCATAATTGAGAAGGAAGTAAAGAAAATGGTAGGATGATACTATTAGGATTAGGAATGAACATTGCAAATAAACATATGGAGTGGCCATGACAGACTAATTTGATACAAAGAGAGTGTTGATTGTTGTCTTTTGGCTTTTAGGTAGAAGTGCTCATTGTAGAAGTTCTCGATGTGTTCCCTCCTTGGAGGTTTAGTGAGTAAACAAAATACTATCTTCTAACTACCACTATCTCTAACCGAGTGCAAAACTACTCTGGATCCTGTTTCTTCTCCTTTTTTTTTTTTCTCGTTTGTAGCTTTGGATCTCCTATGTTAGGATGACTGAATACTGCTACTTGTGTGGAATAAGCTGGATCATATGTATCTACTCAACACAGAAAGTAATGAAGGAACAAAAGAAAAAAGATTTTAGTTGCGCTTGTATAGCCATAGTGGTATCTTTGTCTTTTTCTCCCTCTCATTTTTTCTCTCTGTGTCGTATAACTCTCAAATGCCTTTAAGATTATCTCGCATGATTCTGCTGTATTCACGCTAGAAATGTGATGAAAATTCTGTTTTTAATGCTAATGACGGAGAAAATGTCATCTAGGTTCCTTTCTGTTTCCCATTCTCAGAAAGAAGCACTCAACTTCTTAGAGCTTTTGCTTAACTTTGTCAAGTGTGTTCATACTGCATGAATTCCAACAGTCAAGATTTTCGTTGTCATCTGTTTTTGCAAATAATAAGCATATTCTAGATGCTCATTATGAATTATGTTGCCTGTCAGTCGGCTGTACTGAAACCTGGCCAAAGGATGGTAACTTTTTATTATGATTTTGCCACTGTATGCATATGGACAAAGTTTCTCTTCGATACTGTGTATCCATCAGTACCTCTTTGGTACTTTGTGAAAGTAATTTTATCTGAAATTTTATGTTGTGTACAATTGACTTTTAAAAACTTGGCATGCAGCATGATGAATATGAGCTCCATGAGTTGGTGAAGAATTAATTAGTAAGAAATAACTTGTCGCAGGACTTGCTCCAAAGTTTAAATGCTTAAAAAGTTCATGAAATTCCATCCTCTCTGTGAGAGTCACCACATTGGTTGAGGGTATATGGTGTTGTCTTCTTATATGATCTTAGGCAATCTTTTAGTGAGCTACCTTTGAGGTTGAGTTAGGCCCCTTGTCCATTTTCTTAACATGGGTATTAGTCTATTAGACTAGAGTCATCCTATACTTGGTTTACCTAATGTTGAGCCCTCATGTTATGTTGTGCTTGCTCCAGATGTCAAGTCTTGGGCGTGCGAGGGGGTGTTAGACTCCCACATTGGTTGAGGGTATGGGCTGTCTCCTTATACAGTTTTCGGCAATCTACACCTCGGGGGCTAACTTTTGGGCCTAAGCTAGGCCCAATATCCATGTTCTTAGCACTCTAATATTTCACTTCAATGACAGAAACGACATTTAGTTGTTTATGTCCCGGAGTATGTGTACTATTCCTGCTGGCTTATATTGGTGATTTGCTTTCTTGTGCTCAACCCTTTTTTCCAAGAAATTGGGGTAGTTGCATCTTTGAAACTAGTGTTAGCCAATACAAGACGTGAACTGAAGTATATTAAATTTTCTTGCAGGAGTCTGCAGCTGCTTTAGTTTTTTTCAGGAATCGGTATGCTGCTTTAGTTGCTTCTCAAGGTCTTCAATCTCAGAATCCCATGTCATGGGTTACGGATCTTGCTCCAGAACCAGAGGATATGTACTGGTCAAACATCTGTGTTCCTTACAGACTCCTTTGGATTCGTAGAGTTGCTCTCCTAGTGGCCTCTATACTTTTTGTGGCATTTTTCCTTGTGCCCGTTTCATTAACACAAAGTCTTGTTCATCTCGACAAGCTGCAAAAGACATTTCCATTTCTTATAGGAATTTTAAAGAGGTAATGCAGTGTTAGACCTAGTATCTTGACTTGTACATGGAGTACAAGTGGTATTCCATGTGTGTGTGCGCGCGTGTGCATGTAGATAGCTTATGGGCATTATATCAATAAAGTCTGGCTGCATGATTTCAAGACCTAAATTGTTTGAGAGGATGATGCTGGAACTTTGCCTTCTTCCTTTGTATTATGATATTTCCTGTTTGCTTTAATTAGAGCTTTTTAATTTATAAGAGGAAAACATACATGAGCAATGTAGTAATCGTTTTCCCCCTCTTTCTTGCAGGACAGGAGTGACTCAGCTAGTCACTGGATATCTACCAAGTGTTGTATTAATTTTATTTTCCTACATTGTTCCTCCATTGATGTTGCTATTTTCTAAAATGGAGGGTTCTATCTCTCGTAGTGGCAGGAAGAGGAGTGCATGCATAAAAGTTATTTACTTCTTCTTCTGGAATGTTTTCTTTGGTAACATCGTCTCCGGTTCTGTTATTGAGAGATTAAACAAAATCTTTAAGGATGTAAACAATCTACTTTCAACGGCTGTGCCATCAACGGTAACTGCATCCCCTCTCCGTGTGTTTACCTTCTTTCCCTCTTGGTATAACTGTCTTGTTTAAATATTGATAAATATACCCCCCCCCCCCCCCCCTCTCTCGATATCTTGAATTTAGGTGTTCATATTGTTTTATTTTGAGGCTTTCCTATGTGTTTAATGATAATAGCTTCTTTTAGCTTTTCTGTTGGTTGATGATGCCAGAGCTGGTCTTCGTTGTGTAGTTTCTATTTTGGTTTTAGCATTAAACTTGTGGTATGGGAATATTACATGCAAGTTGCACAAAATTCAATTCAAGGTTATTCAGGAGTGGAAAGGGAAGGTACTAATCCTCTGGAGGAAGTACATGTCAGCTTTCCCACATTGTTCGATTTGATAAAGGCAGAAAAGGGAAATATCTTCCATTTTCTCTGACACTGAAAATAAGAGAAGTCAACAAAACTGCTGCTTTTCAACATTGTTTGATTTGATATTAAACATCGTTTGATTTGTAAAGGGCGGAGAAGGTAATAATTAAAATCTGAGACTGAATTTGAGAGCACGAGCCGTGGAAACAGCCTCTTGCAGAAATGCAGGGTAAGGCTGCGTACGACTCTTCCCCGGACCCCGCGCATAGCGGGAGCTTAGTGCACCGGGCTGCCCTTTTTTTTAGACTGAATTTGAGAGCAAGTGAAACAAAACTACAACAGCATAATGATGTCTTCTAGTGCCAAATCTTCTTCTAACCTGTCTAGTTGGGGATTGGAGAACCTCTCGTACACCTAATTTTTCCCCTGCTTTTATAATTTCCTCAGTATCTACGTTTCCCTTAGCAATGTGAATGGACTAGTTTGTTTACCCTAGTCTTTCATCAATGACACTGGTGTCAGTATAGTTCATTTAATCACGTGACCACAAAAGTTGATTGATTGCATAATATGATTTTTTCTTTTTGCAGGCCACCTTTTTTATGACTTATGTTTTGACATCAGGCTGGGCAAGTCTCTCTGTTGAACTCATACAACCATTTGGTATCATCTGCAGATTGTTCTCCAGGTTTATTCTCAGAAACAGGGAACCATCATCTCATGGAACACTGACTTTTCCATACCATACAGAAGTTCCGAGGATCCTCCTATTTGGGCTTTTTGGCTTTGCATATGCCATATTGGCACCTTTAATACTCCCATTCTTGGTGGTTTATTTTTCCATTGCTTACTTTGTATACCGTAATCAGGTAAATACATCCCATTTAGTTTAAATCTTCTTTTACATCCTCTTGTTTTTATCTCTATTAGCTCATCGTTATTTTGATTACTGAGTCTTAAGAATGGAAATTCTTGTCGGCACTAACATTTTTCTTTATCAGTATGTATGTTCTGAGAGATGTTCATTTCTTTCGAATCTGACTTTCCAAGATAAAAAATTTGGGAAAAACTAGTAAACGGTAGCTACAAGATAAACTAGGGCCTTTTGCTTTCAGAAAACCAGGACTCCTCTTTCCGCATTCTTCGTGATTCCTTTATTGTCTTCTTCTTATGTGGTTTTCAATGTGTATTCTTTTATGAATTCTAGAGGTATCAAATAAGCAGGTTGGGCCAAATATTGGTAGGTTAATACAAGTTGAGTTAATGAACATTTCACAGACAACCTCCTTAAAGGTTACATGGTTAATTTGCACCAAACAACATGTCTTACCAACCTGCGCAATTCAAAAACACTTTCCCATTTGTTTCTTCTGTGCATCTTTTGATTTGCTTCTTCTTTTTTTCCCTTCAAAGTGACCCTTCTTCTTGCGATTTCTGCTTTTGCGCTTTTTCTGCTTCTCTTCTACTTTTTCTTTCTGCCGACGATTCTTTGATGATTCTGTTTCTCTTTTTCTTGTGTTCTCTCCTTCACTTTTTTATTCTCTAACTTTGATCTAAAACGATTATTTGAAAGATAGAAAGTGACTTTCAAAACAAAGCTAACCTTAAAGCAATTAAATATGAAATTAGATGCTACATTATAATTCTTTTCTATAGTTGATTAGTTCAAAAATAAAAATCAACTTGTGTGATTGAAGCTATCTTTCTGTGAGCTTGTTGAAATTGCAATTTTTTGATACTTACTTCAACCATTGAGATTGGTATTGTCATTGTTGTAGGACATTGACAGTGTTACTTGCAATTTTAATGTTAGAATAGTTAAATTCTCACATATGTATGTACATATAATGTTATTTTTGTATTCCCTCTAAATTATAAGCTTTATTTGAAGAAGCTTATGCACTTCACTTCTCACTGCTTCTCTATCAAAACTCTACAAGTTTCTTTTTCTACTTATAAAAACACTGCACTACTTGTTGAGATGAGTAAAGGGATTTATTTTCAATGTTTTTGCTGATCAGTCTGTGTACCTTCCTTTTCACTGATGAATATCCAAGCACTTGCATCTTTTTTCCTCTTTATAGCCTGTGGTTTGACAGCTTACGGAAACTTTTCAGATCCTCAATGTGTATGTGACAAAATATCAAACTGGTGGAACCTATTGGCCTATTGTGCACAACACCACAATTTTCTCAATGGTGCTGATGCAAATTATAGCTTCGGCAGTCTTTGGATTTAAAAAATCTTCAACAGCATCAGGCTTCACTATTCCATTGATAATCTGTACACTCCTCTTCAATGAGTACTGCAGGCAAAGGTTCGAACCATTATTCAAGTACACTCCTGCTCAGGTATGACTAATTGCACAATCCATTTTATATATATGTTCCTCCATGCATGCATCTTATTTCGTGTGTGCTTTTGTACAGATCCTCATTGAGATGGATAGGCAGGACGAAGAATGTGGGAGGATGAAAGAGATACGTCAACAACTCGCATCAGCTTATTGTCAGTTCAAATCAACTTCACCTACACTGGATAAAGCTGTTCCTGAAAGTGACGAAGAGAACATGAGTATCCATAAGGTTCAAGGCATAGAAGATACTAATCCAGGTTCAAATAGCTTAATGACTGTTGTAGGACACTCTTATATATCTGGATGATTTTTGACACGCTCGACACTTTGTTGCTTGCAGGGAAAAGTCCTCATCTTCCTCCATCATGTACATCTTTTGATAGTAAAAGTCCTCATCTTCCTTTGACATCTTTGGACATTAGAAGTCCTCATCTTCCTTCATCACGTGCGTCTTTTGAAATTAAAAGTCCTCATCTTCCTTCATCACGTACGTCTTTGGAAATTAAAAGTCATCCTCGTCTTCCTTCATCACATACATCTTTGGAAAATAAAATTCCTCATCTTCCTTCATCACATACGTCTTCGGAAATTAAAAGCCCTCGTCTTCTTTCACCACACGCGTCTTTGGAAAATAAAAGTCCTCATATTCCTTCACCACGTGCATCTTTGGAAAATAGAAGTCCTCATCTTCCTTCATCACGTACGTCTTTTGAAAATATAAGTCCTCCCCATCTTCCTTCACCACGTACTTCTTTGGAAATTAGAAGTCCTCGTCTTCTTTCACCACGTGCGTCTTTGGAAGTTAGAAGTCCCCGGCTTCCTTCACCACATGCGTCTTTGGAAATTGAAAGTCCTCGTCTTTCTTCATCTTTGGAAGCTGAAGAATCATGTGCCAAGTAGATGAATATTTTCTGTGCATTTTATATGCGGAATCAGTGCTGATTGTGCATTCTTATGACTGTCTATTATATGACATGGTTGATTTGTGAAATGCCTTGAGAAGAGACTTTGTGAAAGCGTATAGAAAATATTTTTCTTTGAAATATGCCATCTGAAGAGATTACTTGGAAGTGTACATAAATTCTTCGGGGGCTTACTGAAGCTGCAACACCTTAGAGTTACCTAAAGATCGTTTTTTATTCCTCCCTATATGTTTTTGATATTTTGTATAGATGGTTCCATGATTATGGAGACCCGTGTAAGTACATAGATGTATTGGTGAACCGCTGCTTGATGTGAGTATGATTTTGTTTCTTTAAATTTTATGAAGTTGTAATATGCAATAAGAAGAATAAAATATTATAACACAAGGGAAAACAACTACTGTTGCGTTGTAGTTATTTTTGGTCTACATGTCAAATGTGTAACTAGCCCTTATCTAATACTGTTGACCAGTATATATGCCCTGTACAGTAAATTGTGACCTCAATCATGAGAGTGAAGTTGTTTTCCCATTTTTTTTTGTTTGGGCAAGCAGCAACCCATAGTAATGAGAAATTAACACAACGAATTCAGTAGTACAAAATATGATGTTATCTGTGGATAAGAGGGATAAATTAAACATTGGAGAAGACGGTAATTGATTAAAATGTGATCAGGATCAAAGGTGAAGAGAAACGAACTCGGTAATTCAAAAAACGGAAAATGGCCAAATATACTACTATGAGAAAAGATTTAAATATATCACTCGCTATACGTTGGGTCTAAATATATCCCTGCCGCAATACTATTAGTTAAAATATATTACTCTTCCGTTAAGTTTGTCCAATCCTATGTGGTACTGATATTTGATAAGGCGGATGTCACATGACATACCACCTCAGTCCCCCTAGCCCATTTTGTCCCTCCCTTTTTTTTTCCCACTAAAATTTTCTTACCATCAAATTTTCGTCCCCTCCCCTAAAACATCCCAAATCTTCTTCAATACTTCGTATTCTTCTTCTTCAGAAACATACTCCTAAAAAACAAGTTCAATTAGTGCATATAATATAAAGATAATAGAAGTCATCCAACAGAAGAAAAAGAGATCAAAGTGTTATTATAACTAATCAGCACAATCATATAAAAGAGCAATGGTTCACTTTCAAAGTTTCCATGTTGTAATATTTCACATACTGATAAACACATTATTATAATGTGAACATTCCTCTTTGACTTATAGAAAGGACTACTCATGCCTTCTTCAAAGCCTTGAGAACACGCAATATGTAATCTTTGCGGATATGCAAGCTCATCAATAGTAGTTCAAATTGCAGAAGAGCCGCCTCTTTATTAACCCCTAGCAATTTGATAGCTTATATGAGTTCACCAAACTGTAGGGCACCTGATCCTTTATGAGTTTCTACTGAGAGTACTTTATGAAACAGTAAGTAAAAGAGACACCGGATTTTTACGTGGAAAAATCCCACACAAGGGGACAATAACCACAACCTACACTTGTAGGCTTTCAACTTCACTAACTTGTAATCTCACTATTACAAGCCACTTTGTAATAACTCTATTACAAAGACTTCAACTTAACTAACTTGTGATACTCTTACCACGAGCCACTTTGTGACTCTCTAACTACAAAGACTTTAAACTTATGACTAAACCTAGTCACAACATAAACTTAGAAAGTTTACGGATTTTGGATTTCCTAAAACATAGCTTCTAAGTAAGCAAGAGAGGAGTTACAATGAAGAACAAATAACAAGATTACAACTCAACTACGGATACACATAGACTCATTGTGAAACTGATCCTTTAGTGGAGTTGTCTTCTTGTTCTTGACACACCAGTGACTTCAATGCCGGATGAACACTTTAATGCTTGAGAGAATATCATTGAATGCACAAGTGAATCTGTTGTGCCTTACACCAGGTTGTTATACTACAAAAGACATCACAATGGTGATGTCAATTCTTTATACACGCTTCTTCCCAATGAGAAGTGACTGCTGCACTGTCTGCTGCACTGTCGCGTGTATAGTTGCGGACAGTCACTTTCTGCAGTTGCGTTCCAGCTGTATAGTTGACTTGTACTTCTGTCAAAGAACCCTAAGGGACCAGGTTCCTGTTGTGTTCCTCTTTGTAACAGTTGCGGACAGTCACTTTCTGTTGTTACGTTCCAGCTGTACAGTTGACAGAACCCTAAGGGACCAGGTCCCTGTTGTGTTCTACCTTGTGGTTGTTCACTCATTTGCTGGAGATCATACTAGAATTTGTTTGTATACCAGGTGGGGCAGGTTCTCTATCTGGTTCTTGACAATAAGTTTGTTAGATCATCAAAACATAAAAAGCATAAGGCAAAGACATTGAAAATCCATCAATTTCCCCATTTTTGATGATGACAAACTTAGGCATTAATAGTATTTGTTTCGAGCAGAAATAACCAGATAAGGTACCTGAAACTACACAAGTTCCCCCTGACCTTTTGCTTTTGATTCCCCCTTAATCAGATCTCCCTATATTTGCATCAAGTTTCTACACAAATTCACAAGTTCCCCAAGTTCCCCCTGCCTTTTCCCCCTTTTTTGGCATCATTAAATAGATACACAAGCAGGCAATCAACATAAAGAAGTCTAACACAGCCGACTCATGCCACATATGTGCACACAACATGACAGAAAAGAGAAGCCATAAGAAAACAACATTGTACAGGCAAAAAGAAGAGCTGTTTCATTAATATTAACAATGTACTGAGCAAAACAGGAGCAGTAATGGTGAAATCCAGCATTCCATCACAAAAAGGCAAACAAAAAGAAAACAACAACCACAAAACATTAAGAGCAAAAGATAGCTGGCCACTGAGAGGATCCTAGGGGGCACTAGAAGAGGAGGCTTGGAAGAGGAGGCAGCAAGGGTTTTGAGAACCAGGTCCAGTCGGGCATTTGCAGACAGTTGTTCTTCAAGCAGTTTTGCGCGAAGCTTATCATTTTCCTTTGTCAGGTGGGCAATTTCTTCATTAACTGAATCGGGTCCTTTAACTGCTTGACTGAGCTCAGTTTCCAGTATGGCATTTTGAGCCCTCAACCTTTTGATCTCTTCAGAAGCTGCATTTTGAGCATTGATCAGCTGAGAAATGGTCGAGATGCTTCCACTAACTCTTTCTACGCACTCACATTCTTCCAGAGTGGTTTTAGAGAAGGTTTGCTTGCGTGTGCCCACTCTGGGATTACCCAAGGGGACCTTGTAAAATCTGAACACTTGAGTGAGAAGAAAGCCATATGGTAGCCTATGATTCCCACCTTTAAAGTTTGCCACCTTTTGCATATGATCTATCATGATTGCTGGCAGATTTATTGGGACAAACTCATCAAGCGCCTCCATTAAGACCATATCCGATTTTGTAGCAATAGACCGTCTCTCAGAACGAGGTAAGAGCACCTTATTGACCAGTTCAAAAAGAAGCTGATACTCAGGAAGTAATACCTTCTTATGCACTTGTTCCCCCTGCTGAATAGCTTGCTCTTTCATGATAGCTCTCCTAAAGTTGACACCACAGACACCTTTGACTGAGGACCTTCCTTCACATGGAATTTTGAGAACCTTTCCTAATGCTGAAGCGTCGAGTACAATGTCTACTCCATTTACTAGCGCACATATGTGATCCCCCTCAACAGTGAAGAGAGATTCGTAGAAATTTTGTACAGCATCTTCGTACACCAGAGTCATGCTCCCCTGAAACAAGTGCTCCCATTGCTGAAATTCCACTATCTCCAGAATTTGTCTTATACCAGCCATCTCTGAAATTGCTGGGTCAAACGTCGACCCACAAGACTTCTGAGTTCTTAATCTCTCCTGCCAAAGACCACTGTCACTGGGCATTTCCTCAGAGACCACGGTTCCTTACAGTTTTCTGTTTTCATTTTCTATATCCTTCAACCTAGAC